TATCTCAAATTTGGTAACGAATTTCAATATGACCCTGAGGCAAAAGTGTTTCAGTTTATTTTTCTGCATAACATTTTTTTTTTCAGATTTTTTTGATTTTTTTTTTTTTACTTTTTTTTCGGACGTACGGCCCGTACGACCACATGACCCGTACGTAAGGCTGTACGTAAGTACGGACGGCCCGTATTCGTACGTGGGTCTACACAGTCTCATGCTGCCACATGGACGCATCCAACTGCAGTTTGCCCCGTTTTTCTGTTTGGTCCACATCTATCTCTTTCTCATGCTGCCACATGGACGCATCGAACTGCAGATTGTCCCCTTTTTCCCGATCCCAAGGTCCAACAAACACGGCCGCGAAAATCAGACCGATTTCGCTGTTGGTCTTGGTTTTTGCTTGGTCCACATCCTGTCTCTTATACACATCTAGATGAGAGAGAGAGAGAGAGAGAGAGAGAGAGAGAGAGAGAGAGAGAGAGAGAGAGAGAGAGAGAGAGAAGGAAGGAGGTGAGGCAGCCGTTTACTAGGTAGGTAGGATGGATAGAGTTGCGTTGGACAAGGCAGGGGACAGGATGGAAAGGGATTCCATTGGGTTAGACTGGATGAGATGGGGCATATGCTTTACTGAGATGAGAGGAGGATAACGGGCGCGGGAGGACGACATTAAGTAAGACATAATGGATGAGACAGAATGCCAGAACTAGCCTTGGCAATTTCATCACTGGCCTTGGCTACGCTCTCTTCCTGCGCGTAGTCGTCAATGACGATGTCGTTCGCCTCCGCGCCGCCTCCAAGAGTGTCGTTGGTCATGTCGGTCAGCAGCGACTGATCATTTCCCGCTGCATTTTCGACTCCGTGGGCCATCCCCAGTGATGAGCTCTCCTCCACGCACTCACTCGCGGCACTGCTGGACATCTCCCCACTTGCCCCCTCTTCGTCCTCCGTGCCCTCGCTGTCCGTCGTCTCGTCATCCCTTTCCTCCTCCTCGTTTTTCTGTTTACGTCTCCACAACTCCTGCACGTGCGCGAGCTCTGATCCGCGGTGCCTCCACGTTCCTCCCTCTGATCCCCTCCCCTTCCCTCCCCCTCCTCCACCCTCCTGAGTTCTCTGTGTCCCCTCTCTCTCTTGGCGCAAGTACTCTCCCTCTCCCGATTCTCCTCCTCCCCCTCCTCGATCGTCTTGCTCATTGTCTCCCGCCAATGCCGATGGCAATGGCAATGGCAATGGCAGCGAATGCTCCGCGGTGCACCCCCCCTCCTCCTCCTCCTCCTCTTCTTCCCAGCCGCCATCGCCAGCACTGTCTCTGTCAGCCGGCATAACTTGTCCCTCCCCTACTCCTCCTGTTGCCGAACCATCGGCCATCGCCTCTCTGGTCTCAGCGTCGGCCATATCCATCCTTCAGACCAGGTCCCACAACCCCCTCCCCCTCTCACCTAAGGCACACAAATCCCCTCCTACAGCAAGTCGGTCGTTGCACTGATCTCCTCCTGTC